TATTCTTTTTTTTTTTTTTTTTTGCTGTACGCGGGCCTCTCACTGTTGTGGCCCCTCCCACTGCGGAGCACAGGCTCCAGACGCGCAGGCTCAGCGGCCATGGCTCACGGGCCCAGCCGCTCCACGACATGTGGGATCTTCCCGGACCGGGACAAGAACCCGTGTCCCCTGCATCGGCAGGCGGACTCTCAACCACTGAGCCACCAGGGAAGCCCTCCCCATCATATTCTGAGTAAAGAGCAAAATCAAGACCCAACCTCTCCCACAGTCTGAGCCCTCCTGGCCCCACAACTTTATTTCCTGCCACTTTTCATCATGCCTTCTAGATTTCAACTATAGCAAAATACTGTTCCTTGAATATGCAATGCTAGTTTCAGTCTTCTGAGCCTTTGCAGATGTTCCCTGAACATCCTTCCTCCTTCCTCTTAAGCTAACTGGTGAACTGATGTTTTGAGATCTTTTCAAGTGTCTTCCTCTGTGAAGTTTTCTCGGACTTCTTTGTTCCTTTCCTTCTACTTTTATGGCCCTTGTTACATTTACTGATAATTACTGGGAGTTCCTCAAGGATGGGCCTATTTCTGTTTATCTTTATGAGCCCCAGGCCTACCACTGTTAAATAAGTGAGAGAAATGCAGCATAATGAAGTGAGGCGAGAGAGAAGACAGAATGTCCCCTGATCAGGCCCCTCCTCACCCTGTGGAGGGAGCATCTATTCCACAGACACCTTCGCACATAAGCCAGGCCCCAACATGTGTGGTGCCAGGGCTGCTGCTGTGGATCAGTCACTGCCAGGGCACGTTGTTCATGATTGTGTGGGTCCCACAGAGCCTGTACTAATAAAAACTTTATAGTTAGCACAAATGTAGTGCTCAGTATGTAGTATGCTAACTACTATTCTAAATGCTTACATATTAAGCTCTAGATTACATAGTATCACTTTATCCTCACAGAAACCTTTGACATAGGTATTAGTATTAGTCCCACTCTACAGATGAGGAAACTAAATCCCAGATCACACAGCTAGTAAACGGAGGAGCCAGGATTTTCTTTTTTAAAGAGGGATCTTTTTTTTTTTTTTAATTTTAGAGGATTTTTAACTTTTTAAAAACATTTATCTAGGCTGCACCAAGTCTTAGTTTTGGCATGCGGGATCTTTGTTGCGGCATGAGAGATCTTTAGTTGCAGCATGCGGACTTCTTAGTTGCAACATGTGGACTCTTAGTTGCAGCATGCGGATTCTTAGTTGCAGCATGCATTGCAGGATCTAGTTCCCTGACCAGGGATCGAACCCGGGCTCCCTGCATTGGGAGCGCAGAGTCTTATCCACTGGATCACCAGGGAAGTCCCCAGGATTTTTAAAAAGAATAGTCTAAACTGGTCTCCCTGTATTGTTTTCTCTGTTTTCCTGTAAATTTAGTAAGTTCTATAGTAAAGCATTTTTAAAAGATTTGACTAAATCAATGTGTTTTAAACCCCTCCCCCACCCTTTTTTAAAAAGCAATAAAACCCTTCTTCAACCAAAATCTTGCAGAAAGGCTGATCTGTAAATGAAATCAAAACGGATCTATTCTGGTTGAAGGCAAGCCAGATCCCCTCTTATTACTTTCCTCTCTCACTCAGCCCTGCCCAAGGCACAGGGTTCAGGAAACACAGTTGAATGAAAAGCACTGGACCAGACTAACTCTTAAAGATTCTTCTGGCACTTTTCCTTCCTCTAGTTATACTGGCCATACTCTAGTTATACATACTCTAGTTATACATTGGCCATTAGCCTATATATTCTGTCCCAGAAACAGTGAGATTGAGCTATTAATCATCTCTGTAGTCTTTGGAGAATTTGTATGCAGGGTTGTAGAAACATAGGTTGCTGTTAGAGATGCATTTCAATGTCTGTCTCTGCTGAGTGTTTATTAATAATCTTGCTAATCGCCACTCTAGTTCCTGGATCTAGCTAACTCCTGTCAGGTGTCCTTGGGGGGCATTTTAAATTCTCCCTGATTTCTTGGAGCCAGATGCTTCCTTCTGCCTGGATTCCTCTCTGATACTTATATTCATGAATATTTCACATTTAATCTCCCTGATTACATTTCCATGTGATGGTCATGGTGCATTGGCTGCATGTCTCAGGAAAGACATACAGGAAGCCCACAGTAAAGGCTTGAGTTTGCAGGCACAGTGCCAGAGATCTTTGTTCCTGCCACTAAGATGGCCTTCTATCGTGGACAATGACGGGGAGATGCTGAATGATGAGTTTGCATGGGACCTCTCAGTCTAGGACTTTGCACCCTGGCTCTTGACCCAAAGGGACTGGCAGTTTCACTCAAGGACCAAATGCCACTAGGACCTGCCCAGTAGCCGCAGGGACCACACGTGGGTCCCTGTGACCAGAGTTGCTCAACAGCTTCCCAGCCCCCCATCCTTCCTGCACCACCTCCCTCCAGTGTTGCTACCTAGTACTTCCAGCCTGAGAGAAGAAACTCTGATGAACTCATCTGCACTGAGGAGGGAAAGTTAGCCCCAAATGCCTGAGAGCCTGAGTTCTTAAAGTTAGCTGTTGGAGGAGGCAGGGATGATGGTCAAAGAGGCAAGATGAGCCAAGGGGCATAGTGTCCTGGAAGCCAGCGGAGAAAACCATTTCCAAATGGATGTGGTATGTGTGACATGTGACAAATGCTACAGAAAAAGTAGAGGAAATTGGAAATCTGCCACTGCTTCCCTGGTAGGGCTCCACAGGCACGTTTTATGGGTTTTACCCTTTGAGAAGCCCGCCCTCAGGCTGCTTTGGGAGTGAGCCTTCCCTGCAGCCTAGAGCTCAGCCGTCAGGTCTCCACGTTCCCTACAGGCAGCACTTGCGAGGCTGTTTTGGCCACAGAAAGGCATGTAAAGGCCACTAGAGGCCTCCTGCTCCAGGGCTGCAGGGGATAGAGGCTGCCAGTAATCAGTCTCCCAAGAAGGAGCTGAGCCAGGGAGGCAGAGGATGAGGGACTTGGAAAGACTGTTGGGAAGTTGCCTGGGATGCAGGCACTGCAGCTCCCCGCCCCCCCCTCACACCTGTTCTACCTTCCTGTCCCATCCCCCTCAAGGACAGCTAAGGATGGAAATCGAGGACACAGGCCCAGGTTCTGCCCTCGGGAACTCACAAACCACTATGGCAACACAGCCCACCCTGGGCCTTGCACTCTGAATGGCCTAAGGAAACATAGACAAGGCCAGGATTTCCCTCCCAAACATTCTAGACTTTTCCCTTTTCCCTTAGTGACAAGCGTGTTTTCATCCCCACTGCTTCATTCTAAAGGGAACAGAAATCACCCTAATGGCTATATACCCTTCCCTTGATGGGTCACCAGAAGCCACTCAGATCCCTGGGCCTGGAGCATTCTGCCTGCCTATCTGTCTGCGCTCCCTGTCCCCAGAGGCAGAGCAGGCACAGCCCTGGATCCTCTCTGCAATCCTTAGACCTTAGGCATACCACTCTGTGACCCTAGGCAGATGGTTAGGGTGGCAGCACCTGTATCAATGGTTGGTCATTAGTTTCTCAGGGAGAATGTGAATGGCTCCAGCCCCTTCCAACTGACTGAGGCAGGGTGGGCCAAGGCCCTGGATCTTGTAGCAGAGATTTGGGGTGTTTGGGAGGGAATAGTGAGGCTAGAGTAGGACTCTGGGCAGCACGGCGCCCATTGCAATGGGAAGAAGTCAGTAAGGAGGGCAGTGAGGGAGATCGAAACAGTTGCAGACCCTGGACGACGCACAGGATGCATGTTTTCCTACCTTCCTTGTCATCTGTAGCGTCAAGCCCTGTGTGGGCAACACAGGACTAACTGGCCACCAGCTGATTTGTCATTATTTGTCTTCTCACCTACCATTCCCAGCCAACCATTTAGGTTCTCGCAGGAGACACTCTTTAGCACTCATCTGTGAAATGGAGAAGTCCTCGTTAGAACTGCTGTGGCTGCAGCCTTGAAGTCTAGCCTGGCTTGGACAGTCAGTTCTCTGGATCCTGTGAAGGGATCATTCAGTGCTAGGGGAAACAGAGGGAGAAGGCCTGTCTCAGGGAGCACCTACCCTGACCTAATGCAGACTTAAACTCACAGGAATCTAGAAAGACCTTTCCAAACAAGTACATAGGAAGGGCCCTGAGGAACAGGGCAACGAGTATGGGAGGTTGGAGAAGGTGGTCCTTTGGGTTTAAGGAATTGCGGTAGGCTTCCTGGGGGAGGTGGATCACACAGGACTTAAAAGATAGACACCCAGGTGGGTGTAAGTAGCTCTTCCACCCAGCTCAGTGTCTTCCTCCCATGGTAGATGGGTCTGTCCCTCCCTCCCTGAATACCCTGCCTGCTGCCAGGGAAAAATGCCTCCAGAGGACAGGTGAGAGCAGCCCACTGTGTTCACTTCCTAACAGCTCCCTATCTCTCTGCTTTCTCCCCCAGGACCCAGCCGCCGCCTCCATCTCAGACGGAGACTGTGACGCCCGGGAGGGTGAGTCAGTAGCCATGAATTACAAACCATCCCCGCTCCAAGTGAAGCTGGGTGAGTGTGTCTGGGGGGTGAGGGATATGTGGGGAGTGGACAGACAAGGTGGTCTGGGCTGGGTCTACAATGAGGTACCACAAATAAACCAACTCAGGCTAGCTGATTCCAAGACTCCAGCCACCAAGTCATTGGCACCGCCAGGCACCTTATCTCCTGCAAGGCCAAGAGGGAAATTACAGTTCTCTACAGGAGCCCAGAACTCTAGAGGCATCTCTGAGGCCAAGAAGGCTCCAGGTATTCCAGGGGATAGCTGCAGGGGTAAAAGCATGGAACCCCAGAGAGTGGGTTGGCAGTCCCATCAAACACTGGACCAGGCTAAGAGGAAGCTGCCTTAGAGGTGGGGTGTCAGTTGCTGTGTCTGAGGGGTAGAAAGGAATGAGGCTCCCAAAACCTAGAAGCTGAGCCCCTCTCCCCATTCCTATGTCAGCCTATCTGGAGATCTCAGGATCTCATCGGCTCCTGTTTGGGGGAGCTTTCTCATAGTTTCTTAATAAACCCAAATCTCTCCCCCACTTTCCAGGGTCACCTTTCCCTTGGGGGTTTATCTTACGTCCACTCCAAAGTCAGTTTATGCTACAGCCTGCTCCTTTGAAGTCACATGTCTCCCAACCATTGCCCAGAGCTCCTGCAGCTGCTGCTATCACTTCACCCTACGCCGAATACTGCGTCTCTCCCTTCAGGGACCAGTTTCACTCACCCAAGGCTGCCATGCATAAACAGGCTTGTAATTAATAATTTGCCTTCGGGAATTCCCTAGCGGTCCAGTGGTTAGAACTCCGTGCTTCCACTGCCGAGGGCCTGGGTTTGATCCCTGGTCAGGGAACTAAGATCCCGCAAGCCACAAGGTGCGGCCAAAAATAAATAAATATAAAAATATAAAAATAAAAATTTGTTTTCACGAAGAGAAGTTATAACATAATGCATCCAGGAAAGAGTTAACAATTAAATACAGGCTGTCACTATCCTTCCAAACTTCTCTGCCATCCCTGCCACCCTCCTGCCCATCTTTCTCCTCAGGCTCCAGCTGCCCATCAAATACTGGACCCCTCCTTAGTCCTGAGAACCCTTTCCTATCTGTTCTAAAACATTCTCCCTCTGCAGCTGCCAGGACTCCTTTTCACAGAGTCCTGTTATGTTATTCAGCTTTTTGTTAACCTTGTTTTTCTCCTTCTAGACCAAATCCGGGGAGCCCCTCAGGCTGTTTTTCTAAACAAGAGAGCAGTCCTCTCAGTGGAATTTGTTCATTGTCCCAGGACACCAAACTCAAACTGTTTTTGAGCAGCCAGTTTTATTTGCTTATTATTGTTTAACAATACAAATATTTTAACAAGTATAACTTCTCCTTTACTCTCGCCCGTCATATTCTCCTCCCCAGAGATCATCATTCCAAGCGTTTTTTAGTTTTTTCATTTTATTTTTTATTTTAACACAAGTGGTATCATACTGTACATATTTTCTGAAACTTTTTTCGTTTTTGTTTTCCACTTAATGTCTTAGAGCCCCTTCCAATATCAGTATATAGAGAATGACTTCATTCTTTTAAATAGTTGCATAGTAGTCTGTAGTTTTGTTTTCCCAGTTTATTGTTAGCATTTTTTCAGTTTCAAACAATTCCAACATGCTTTTAAAATAACACTTAAGAAATAAAATAAAATAAAATAAATAAAATAAAATGACACTCTTTTGTCCTGCCCATTACATTGCCACCAAAGCTCCTCTAGAAAATTCACAACCTCGTTCCAGTTGTACTGAGGAAAATCCCCACCAGGAACTTTAAGGCGAATTGCACCCCCTAGAGGCTTGGGGTGGTAATGGCAGGTGCTGCCTGCTGGAAAGGAGGTGGAGGCAGGTTTGAGGGAGTTAGGTGAGCAGTGGCAAAGAAAAAGGGTTAGAGACTGGGAGATGAGAGACACGGAGACATGGAGGTCGAGGAAATTCCAGAGTCACAGTAGCTGGAAATGCCCATCCCATCCTTCCTCTCTGGAGCTTGTGGTTATTTTATGAGAGCTTTCCCCTGGCAGTCCTTTTTCCTACATCGGGGCTGAAATGACAAGGAGGAATGGGTAGCCAGGCCTCCTCTAGGGCCCAGGCAGCAACTGGCTACTGGTAACAGGGCCACACATGAGGCAATGGGTCACCTGGTTGCCAGCCCCATGAATCTGGTAGGCTATGGAGCCTCAGAGAATTCAGAGGCTGACAGAGGAGTCAGAAGTAGTCTAGGCAGAGGGGCTCCCCCAGCCTCCTGCCCCTTACCCTGCCAGCCCCATCTGCCCCTCCCACTCTACAACCTTCAGTGGCTTCTTTTCCTTCTGCATTAATCCCTAACTCATCTGTTTGGCATTCAAGGCCTTCATGCTCTGAGTCTGTAATCAGAGGGAGCCCCCAGCCGCTTAGCACAGGACCTGAGACATGACTGGTGACACAGATGTTTGCTGAATAAATAAATGACTGACTAAATGTATCCTACTTTTCTAAACTGACCTCCCTCCATCTTCACCCCTCCATCCCATCCACATCCACACTTATTACACTCAACTTCTAAGTGCATTTTTCTGTACACTCTCCCTCCTTACTAGAATGCCCTCCTCTCTCCACGTCAAGGTGTCACCTGCAGGAAGCCCTGCCATCCTTCTGCTCTATGTCTCCTGCTCCAACCTTTCTCTGGAATCAAGCACACACTAGCTGCCCAACTTGGTAGTGCAGCTCCTGGAAGACAGGGGTCAGCCTCCTCATGTTGCCCCCTTACTATCTGCCTTAGGTTGTGCAGAGCCAAGTGCTGTCTCTCCCGAGCAGCAGGGCCTGGAGTTGGATCCCTGCCTCAGTTCTTAGAGAAGCAAGGGGTTTCACCATGGAGGCCCAGCCCAGGCTGCCCCGAACAGTAAGGCAGGGTGCCCCTGGGGGCAGGACACAGCTTCCTTCCCGTGTTCCCCTGCAGAGAAGCAGCGGGAGCTGGCCCGGAAGGGCTCCCTGAAGAACGGCAGCATGGGGAGCCCCGTCAACCAGCAACCCAAGAAGAACAATGTCATGGCCCGGACAAGGTAGAGGCCCCACCCCCACCCCGCTCCACCCTACCAGGGCCCTGCCAGCCAGCACCTATCTCTGCTGGTTCTGAGCCTCCCGTCTTCCCTCCCTCCTCAGGCCCAGCTCCTCTCTGAGAGGAGAGGGCCTCCCAGGATCCAAGGTGGCGAGGGTGGCGTAGGGTGAGGGAGGTGGTCGGCACGGCCTAACCCAGTTCCTTGCCAGGCTTGTGTGCTTCAGTTGCCAATCCAGTCCCCACAATTCTCCACCCAGGCTGGTCGTCCCCAATAAAGGCTACTCCTCGCTTGACCAGAGCCCAGACGAGAAGCCACTGGTAGCCCTTGACACGGACAGGTGTGTACAGAGACACTGGGGCAGCCGGGCAAGCCACAGCAGCCTGTGCAAACACACAAGTGGGCTGTACAGGACGTACTTGCTATATTGTCGGAATTGGGGTGTTCCTCAGCCGGGAGCTCTCCAATTGTGAACCCCCACAAGGAATGGAACTTTTTACCTGGAGGTGGGGGCGAGCAGAGAGAGGAAAAGGCAACTATGCAATCTGCTGCTGTCCTGGGACAGCTGATCCAATGGCTGCCCCTAAAATGGGCCCTGATGCCTTGCATGGCACCCTGTCCCCTCTGAGGAAGGCGCCCTACTGCTGGGAACATACCTGGCTAGATCTGGACTTTGGGAAAACCCAACAAACCAGGGTAATTTGAGCCTAGAAAAAAAAGGAGGGAGGGCTCTGGGGGATTTAGGAGGCTAAGGGGGGCAATTAATTTAGAAGGGTGGAGCTAGGGAGCCTGTCTTGAAAATGCATTCGCACAGCAAGCACCGTTTTCACTGAGACCGTGCTGTTTATTTGGAAGTGTCGGGGAGGGCTGAGGTATTGACTGATGGCGGTGGGGGGAGGTAAAGAGAGTTTTCTATTTAATATCTGGGAGTCACTTCCTCTCTGTCTTCTTTCCCCTGCGGCCAGTGATGATGACTTTGACATGTCCAGATATTCCTCCTCTGGCTACTCCTCTGCTGAGGTGAGGCCCCATCCCTTCCAGTCCTAAACACACGTAAGCAGGCCCACCTCCAAGAGAAGGGGTGGGGCCAACGCCAAATCACACCCTGAGAGGAGCAGTGGGCAAAGCTAGGCGGTGCCCATGCGGGGGCGGGGCCTGGGATAAGATATGGCCGGAAAGAAAGGTGAGGCCTTGGACTCCGCCTCTAGTGCCGGGAGCCCAGGGTTAGGGATGGGGCTTGGACCCGGGTTGGAACAGGAACAGGGCCCTTACCTAGACGACACCTTACGGGAGTGGGCCTGAAATGAGGGCAGGGCCCGAATAGAGGCAGGACCTAAGGTGGGAAGTTGCCCTTAGAATGGGGTGCGGTGTGTAGCGGGGTGGGGCCCCAGGGGGACGTGCTTGTAAGGGAGGCCAGAACTGAGGCTGGGGCCGAGGAGGTGCAAAGCCTGGGGTTTTGGAGAGACCTAGGATGCAACAGGTTGGGCGCCGATGGCCTGGGCATGTGGCCCCAGCCCTGCATGGTGCCTCCAGATGGTCCCGAGCCTGACCTCCCTCCCCTTTGCCTACAGCAGATCAACCAAGATTTGAACATCCAGCTGCTGAAGGACGGCTACCGGTTAGACGAGATCCCCGACGATGAGGACCTGGACCTCATCCCCCCCAAGTCTGTGAACCCCACCTGCATGTGCTGCCAGGCCACGTCCTCCACCGCCTGCCACATTCAGTAGCTGGCGGGGCCGCTGCGGCCGGCCGGGGTGGGGCCGCCAGGGGCCAGGTTGGACCAGGCAGGGGCCAACCCCTCCCCAGCTCGTCCACCTGCCCCTGGCCCCCGCGCACCCTACAGCCGCCAACCTCGTAACAGTCATTGCTTCCTCCTATGGTAGGACGTGTACCTCTGTGTGTTCATGGAGCCGGAGAAACCAAAACCGGGTCTCTCTCCACCCCCGGGAGTGCTGAGGAGGGGAGGGGGCGGTTTGTTCAGTTACTTGGGGGACCTCGCCCAGCATCCTGCCCCCTCCCCAAAGCTGCAGCCCAGTAGAGGAAGGGGGTGACTGGACTGCAGGGAGGCCAACAGTAATGAGTGGGGGAGGGATCACAAAGCCAGGGGTTTGGACCCACCCACGTGAAGCCATGAATCCCCCAGCACCAGCCAAGGAAAGGGGCTGGGAAGGAGAAAGGCCCAGGGCAGTAGGGGCAGGGCGCAGCCCCTTAGAGCCGCCTCCACATGCCCCCCTGCTGGCCCACGTACCATCTGCGTTTCTACCCTCATCTCTAGATGGGAAGCCTGATAAAGCTGCCCAGTGGGATATTGTCCCCCACCCTTGGGGATCACTGCCTTCTTTCTCCTCTTTGCCTCATTCACCCCCTTCCTTGCTCTCCGGATTGTGTGGAGGGTGAGGTGGGCGTTACAGACAGCCAGAGTTTAGGGTGGTATGATCTGCCCTCACCTGCCCCTAACTAATGCATCTGTCTCTCTGTGCCCTGCCTCATCCCCCCACCCA